CATAGAAGGCCATTGAAAATGTCACAGTTTAGGTAAGGCAATAAAGTATCCTGGCGATCCCTGAATCCTTTATTTTCACTAATGCCATGGTTTCAGTTTGGACCTCTTCCTTCAAGACCACCCATTCTTGATCATATGCTTGCTCGCTCTTTTTTACCTTTTTAAAATGCTCTCTCTGAAAATGGGTGAACGCAGGCCAATTCTTTTTGGTACAGGGCTCTGTATATTCGTTCCATCTTCCTGCATTGTTCCATACTTTGTTTCTGGACTCCTTCAACACTACACTGAAGGCAGGAGGGTTTTTCCCCAGTCCTTTCAGCTTCAGAGATGCTGAGCATGTGCTTCTGTTTTGACTTTCCAGCATCACATCTTTGCCCATTGCATCATGATCCCCTACTTGGTCTTCGCCAGACGCCCCTGCAAAGTCTCTGTTGAGCTCCTTGGCATCCTCATTTCTTCCATTTGCTTTAGTTGCTCTATGTTTAAGGCACTACTCGAAATTAGAAGAAACAGCTGCATTCATCCATTCATAATTGGAACATGGCATGTATGTATGAATCCAGGATTGGAAAATTTCAAAATGAAATGGAATGCATAAAGAGGATGGATTGAGGGATCCTTGAAGTTCAGCGTAGTTTTAAAAGGTTATGATTCTTAAAGAATTCCGGGTGGCTAGTTCACCAAGTTCGAGTGAGTTGACACTAAAGATCAAATACCTTTGCCCCGCCCAGGAGAATTATGAATCAGCTTTGTCCTGGGACCTACCACAATCCTTGAGAAATGACAGATCATCAGACAACAGTGCCTTCACCCTTAAAAGATGCAGTGCCCTTGTGCATTAGCCTGGACAAGGAAAAGTAACGGAGTCTGAAGAGCACAGCAGTATCGTAGTTGGTCATTGTATTTCGTTTTGCCTTGATGATTTTGAAAAAAAAAAAAAAGGGGCTTATATTAAATACGATGTGTAGTATTGGTTTTAAACCAAAAGTTAGCTTTAGAAGGACATAAGATTGCAGGCCTTAAAAGTGGAATCCTTCACTTTCCCCTAAATGCCTTCCCTGCCTCTTATCAACCCTCTGAAATCCCATCATTTCTTCTACTGGGTTTGATCCTTAGCTATAAGCTCCAGTGGAGAAGCAGCAG